CAATTTTTTTATTCAATAGCACAATCATCTTTATGTAGGTATCAAAATAATTGTAACCTAGTTGAAGAAAATGTACACAACATTGATCTTTGCATATCTAATACAGTAAATAAACCATTTTATTAATGGATGAAGAGATGCAACAGGGCTGCCAATCCTTAAAAAAATATTTTCAGAAACAAAAGTGTATTTTGTAATTGGATATTGTCCGTGACATTTAACATTGATAAGTCCAAATTAATATTAACAAAAATTAGCATAATGATGTTAATTGTCTACATTACTTATAGTAAATTTATTTTTCAAAGAAATGGACAAATTGTTACATGTCTACATCAGAGGCGTAGCGAGGGGGGCGGGGGGGGGGGGGACACATGTCCCCGGGCGCCGACCTCAGGGTGGGGCGCCAAATTGAAAGTTTGAGGGGAAGGGGTGCAAATGAAAAGTTCGAGGGGGATGCAAATCGAAAGTTTGTCTCCGGGCGCCGGGAAGGGTCGATACGCCTCTGGTCTACATCCTGGTGGGCCACAGAGCCACAATCTAAAATTAGCAATAACTGTTCATGACATTTAAACCAATGATTAAAGATGTTTTCTCCTACTGACAAGAATGGGATCATGCATGTTCTGATGTTTGGACCCTGCATATTTCTTGAATATTTTTTTAGAACTAGATCAAGATAGGAATTTTTAAAAATAACTGATCCAGGTAAACCAACTTGTTCAGCTGTAAACTTTTGTCTTGCTATTTCCCAGTATTTCCACTGGTAAGATCTCAAATTTTTACTCATACCTTGATTTAGACTCAAATACCTGCCTATATTTCATGAAAAACAACACATCTAGGTTTCAACAAATGTTTATGCGCGATCAGTCTTTCATCTATAATAATTATAAGCCCCAAATCAAGCAGCCTACTGCTACAGATATTGACACAGAAAATCAAATTATTTGTCAAACATCAAATTCAGGTTAGGAAAAGACAAACCGTTTTCAGATACTGTTTCACAAATTAGTTTATCACGAGCTGACGTAGTATACGCCGCCATCTAGTTGTTTTATCTTCTGCTTATCAGCAATTCATAATTTATTAATTCAACACTACCCCCATCCCTCTCCTGCACAGTGAACGCAGCCGTTTACAGACAAAGAAAAGATCAATAAGAAATTGTTACCTCCCCTTCGTTTCAAATCGTTTAATACTAAATTATCTGTCCTTAATAGCCGTCACTAACTCGGCTCTACGATTGTAAACATTCAGATGAACCACAGCTCACCTGACAGTGGGGATGAGGTGGTGGTAAGCTGCGTGGTGTTTTCTATGGTCTTCATGAAGAGAACTATATATATAGATTTTCGCGTAAGGTTCCAAATAAAACGTCTAATGACAGTAAATTCTGTTAGACAGCAGTACTTCTGGGGCGATTTTCTGACGGGAAAAACACCAGATATTTTCAAATATTAATTTTAATATTGGAACCGGAAGTAGTAGTTTTATAAACAAATTGTATCAGCCGTGTGTTTACCCTAGTATCAACACTGTAAAAACAGGTATCAACAGTGTATCAACAGAGTATCAACAGAGTATCAACAAGGTATCAACAGGGTATCAACAGTGTATCAGGGGCGGAACTACAGTGCCGCCAGACCCCGCAATGCGGGGGGGCCCGGACCGAATGGGGGCCCAAAAATCCCGGCTAAATTATTTAAAAAAATAAAATAAAATAAATTTAAAAAAAAAAAAAAAAAAAAAAAGGTGGAGGTCGAGTTATCTTTCTTCTACATTTACAAAAAAAACACGATAGTCGGCAAACGTCTTTGAAAAAAATGTACAGACTATAGCTCGAGAGACCGCCAGACATATAGACAACTTCAAAGACGCCGGGGCGGAACTACAGTGCCGCCAGACACCGCAATGCGGGGGAGGGGGGCAAACCGATTGGGGGCCCAAAAATCCTGGCTAAATTATTTTTTTTTAAAAATGTAAAAAAAAAATTAAAACAAAAAAAATTTTTTTTTTTTTTTTTTAAAATTAGATGGAGGTCGAGTTATCTTTCTTCTACAGTTACAAAAAAACACGATAGTCGGCAAACGTCTTTGAAAAAAATGTACAGAATATAGCTCGAGAGACCGCCAGACATATAGACAACTTCAAAGACGTAGCCTATATATATATATATATATATATATATATATATATATATATATATATATATATATATATATATATATATATATATATATATGATTGTGCGTTTAAACTACTGGCCTGGACTCTACAAAAAATATAATTATTTATTTCGATGTCATACATTTATAATTGCGTTCATCTTTACTTTAACAACTGTATCAATAAACTTGTGAACGTTTAAGTTATCTCCCTTTAGCGAAGCATCTGAAGTTTTTGCCGGCACGCTTTGAAATCGGGCTGGGGAAATGTTGCGGCGACTATTCTGGTCTTCTAGACGACCGGAAAAAGTCGGCACTATTGATGTAGATGTTTATCGGCACTTTCTAGTCCCCTTCCCTTGAACCTTCCCAACTCTCACCCCTCCCCCCTCACCCCCCTCTCACCCCTACCCCTCACCTCTACCCCTCACCACACCCTTACTCTTACAATAAGATGTAATGCATAGATTAACGAACCGTCTATGAACTACTGAACTGTAAACTGACCACTTCTGCACATTTTGTTAAAGACACTAGTCAGTAGTTGTTCATTTACCTGATGAAGTATTTTGTTGACGAGTCTAATTCACACAACAAGGAAGGTAAGGCTCGTCTTTATATTATTAATTGTTTTATAATTAGTACACGTATTAATTGAACATTAGTTATTAACACTAAATACATTAAAGTTAATCAAATTTAGGATACAATAATCTAGCTTTTAAGCCTAAAAACAACCAAAAGATCTATATCACCTTTGAATGTATTAATGTTTAATGTCATGTTTAGCCCGTAACGGGGAGGGGTTATATTCGGTTATAATATGGGTGGGTCTTTGGCAGTGTTTCTTCCAGACTTTTTTTTTCGGGAGGGGCGGGGGGTTCGGACCGCACCGGGTGACACCATTTAGGGGGGTGACACCAAGGCAAAAAATAGCAAAATATATAGAGAAAAACTCGAGGGGGGGTGCAAATCGAAAGTTTGAGGGGGGTGCAAATCGAAAACTTGAGGGGGGGGGGGGTGCAAATCGAAAACTTGAGGAGGGGGGTGCAAATCGAAAATTTGAAAGTTTGTCCCTGGGAAGGGTCTCTATGGCTCTGGGGGGGTGACACCATTAAGTGCCGCACCGGGTGACACCCGACCTCGCTACGCCACTGCACCCGATATATATATATATATATATATATATATATATATAAATATATATATATATATATATATATATATATATATATATATATATATATATATATATATATATATATATATATATATATATATATATATATATATATATATATATATATATATATATATATATATATACATATATATACATATAGATATATATATATAGGGGCCTAAAAAAAAATTTTTGCGGGGGGGCCATTTTTTTCTAGTTCCGCCACTGCAGTGTATCACAGTATCAACACACAACTTGACCTTCTCACACCGGAAACACACCCCTACTTATCTATATCATGCGGCCATTAATTACACCAACCAATCGCGAGAGAGTAAAGTATCAGCCAATCATCTTCTCCCTAGCCCACACTACTACTACACTTCTGAATCCTAAGGCATATTTGCCATGACCCCCACCCCAGCCGTACCCCATCCCCCGGGGCACGGGGATAATCCTCTCTCTAATTAGGATCCACATAGACCTGTGTTGCTACTAGCGCTACTAGTCAACGTGGGCAGACGACAAATTGAGGAGCCACTGGCTTTTTTGTACCGGACGATATTAATACATCCGGGTATCGATTTAAAAACTAACTCTAACGTGAAACTAATCCAAAGCATTTCTTCAATATAAACTTAAATATAAACTTACGAGCCGACCCGCGACGTAGCATACGCCGCTATGTAGTTGTTTTATTTTCTATTTTTCAGTAATTCATAATTTGTGAATTCGACACTACCAATGCTGAGACTGAAATTATTTTGCTTTAAAACACTATCAGTAGCTGAAGGACGATTATCCTCACCCTCACTTTCCACTCCTCCCATCCTCCCCCCCCCACCCCCCCCCACCCCCCCCCCACCACCCCCCCCCCCCCCCCCCGCGTGAAAGCAGCCGAAAGTAATGGATACATTTTGAAAAATGGGATGTTAAATCACTCGTAATAAACTTGCTAATGTCAACGTTAATCTTATCCTTAATTAACCCAAATGGTAACCCAGATCCTGCCGAATGTCTAACCCTAATGACGACATTCAGACTATACCTGCGATAACATTACTAATAACAAATTCAGATTGATTTTGAATTTTTTTCATAATTTTGAATGGTTTGCTATGTAAAATGGCTGATTATATGGAATGGTTGACCTTTTAGAGTGGTTGGCCGTTTAGAATGGTTGGCCGTTTAGAATGTTTGGCCATTTAGAATGGTTGGCCATTTAAGTCGTTAGATGAACAGGTGCTACAACTAGTTTACACATTTTAAAAACAAAATAAAACAAAAATTAATGAAATACAAATACAAATGTGAATTTCTCTATAAATCAGTTCTCAAAGCACCTAATCGCGATTAGTTTTGACGGGTTTGTAAAGGGGGGGGGGAGGGGGAAGAGAAATCTGAATATGTTGTATAATATGAAGTGAAGCTGTCTAACTATATATAACATAACTCTTGTTTTTGAGTGAGTATACAAAAATTTCATGTTTGTGTTATATAACCAGTGCGCGATCTCTTTATGTTGTTTATGTGAGCGGTCTTTATGTGACAATATTTACATAGTAGGCTTACATTTTTTAATTGGAATCTTACGTTAACCATAACCTAACCCAATGTGTTTCTGCCCCTCCCCCATCCCCCCCACCCAGACATCGTCAGAGTACCAGCAGCTGTACGACGAAGCCCGGGGGTCGGAGTACAGCAAGTACCACGGCTACGCCTATGACGGCGTCTGGGTCATCGCCAAGGCGTTGGACCGTCTCCTGGAGGACACGCCCCTGTCCGCTGACCTCTTCCGGGGTCATGCGGTGGGGAGGGTGCTCAACGATACAGGGTTCATGGGGGTCACGGTAAGTGGGTCAATGGGGTTATGGTGAATGGGTCAATGGGGGTCACGGTAAGTGGGTCAATGGGGGTCACGGTAAGTGGATCAATTGGGTCACGGTAAGTGGGTCAATGGGGTCACGGTAAGTGGGTCAATTGGGTCACGGTAAGTGGGTCAATGGGGTCATGGTGAATAGGTCATGGAGGTCACGCTAAGTGGTGGGATGGGGTCATTGTAGATGGATTTTTGGGGTCACTGTAAGTGGGCTAATTGGGTCACGGTTAATGGACTAATAAGGGTCTCGGTGAGTGGGCTTATGGAGGTCACATTAATCAGGCTAATGTGGGGAATATATATACCTAGAGGACTAGGATGAACACATTAATTAATGGATGCCGGGTTTGTTTAGTGCTGGGGCGTATCGGGTGGGTGATGGCTGCTGGGTGATTGGGGTCGGGTGATGGGAGGGTCAAGGTTTTGTTTGTTTACAGACGGACTTGGACCATATCAACACTTGTATTGCTGTAAAACCCGAGGTCAAATTGATGTAGAGTTGAACACAATAGGGGCACTCTGTGTTGAGTGCCCTCCCCTTAATGGTCTTTTTAATTACATATACTCTAAATAATGCCTACAACATCCATTAAACTTTTACGAGGTTAAATTTTAGAGTGCCTTGATAGATCTGAAATAGTCTAGCGCGTTAATTTTATATATATATATATATATATATATATATATATACATATATATATATATATATATATATATATATATATATATATATATATATATATATATATATATATATATATATATATATATATATATATATATATATATATATATATATATATATATATATATATATATATATATATATATATATATATATATACAGTCGACCTACATCAATACTTACCCAATTAAAATTTTAAAATCTTATTACAGCGAATATTTTTTTTAAATTGTGCTCATTAAATTCGAATTAGCTTAATTAGTGACGACCAAGTAAATTGCTCGGGCAGGAAAAAAAACATTTTCATTGAGCTAAGAAAACTAAACTTTGTATAAGTAGTTGCACTTAGTGGCATCTTCAGTACAATGTACTGTTATACCTCGTTATAACAGTATTAAAACATTTCTTTATTTTTCATTCATTTAACATTTCTATATGATAGCACATTTGTATAGACCTGTCTATCTACAATGGATTTTTAATGTAGTCTTGAAGATGTAGTTTACCTTTTAAGCGATTTAAACCAGTGTCGTAGCCAGGAATTGGTCATAGGAGACGTTCAAATATGTTTCCATATGTACAAAGTCATATGAATATATATATATATATATATATATATATATATATATATATATATATATATATATATATATATATATATATATATATAAGAGAGTGAATCCATGGGAGGGGTTATAACTCCCCCTAACCCCCCCCCCCTTGCCTACGCCACTGATTTAAACGTTTCCTTCTGTCTTTCGTTCAAACTCTTCTTTTCGTCCTCCTATCTAAGGGTAGAGTCCAGTTTACAAATGGCGACCGTGTGGGCAGCATGACCATCCTGCAGATGATGCGTGAGTAGTTTATATATGTGTGCTCATCCTGACCTTCACCTTCACAGTCTATAGTTTGTGCTTTTCTTGACCACACATATACACAGACACATACACTCTTACCCCCACACACACTTAAATCCACACACTAAAACTCACTTTTTTAACCACAGATAATTAGATCCACCCTACCCACAAACACTAAAACCCACACTTTTTTAACCATAGATATTCACCCCCAGCCCCCCCCCCCCGTCCCCCAAGCCACACTCACTTAAACTCACACCCTCACCCACACTTAAACCCACACCCCTGCGCACACTTAAACCCACACCCTCACCCACACTTAAACCCACACCCCTGCCCACACTTAAACCCACACACTTACCCACACTTAAACCCACACCCTTACCCACCGTTAATCTTCAGGAAACATTTTTTATTAGGATCATTAACAGACTCATTTTTATTCCAATCACACGAATATTCAATAAAAACGCCTTTCCTTAAAATCCCAATTAATGAAATCAATTTTTAACAAAATATACAATCAGCAATTTTCACCCTTTTTTATTCCTCTTTTTCAAATGTCATCCAAATGTAGCCTATAAAAAAATTCATCTGGATTGGAAAACTTGTTTAAAATGTTAACACATTTAAACTTAAATTGTATTCAATATAAATTAGACCTATATGTCTCGATTTAGTTCTTTCAATAGCCAGCTAGTACTGAAATATTTCCTGCTGACCCCCCCCCCCCCCCTCTGTCCCTAGATGGTAAAATGGTAAAGGTAGGCGAGTACCATGCTGCCACAGACATCCTTGACCTTTCAGTTGGCGAACCAATTTTCTGGCCAGGTACGTTAGTTCCAGGGTCCTTGACCTTTGTTTTGTACTGACATTTTTTTTTAAAATTGATTATGGTAGTTAATTGGTTAAAGATGAACAGCTCTTGAGAAGAAAATAGATCTTTTGTACCTAATGAATGAGTAATTTAAAACTTCATTAAGAGTTGTGTTTTTTTGTGTCTCCCCCCCCCCCAGACGGCAAGCCCCCCGTGGACAGGAGTATCAAGATAGAGGAGCTGCGTCACGTCTCCTTCCCCGTGTACATCGGCTTCGTTGTCATGGCAGCGCTTGGCATCACAATGGCCGTCCTCTTTCTGGCACTCAATATACGGTTTCGACGTCACAGGTAGTTTTAGTATACAGCCAGGTGTTGTTATACTGCAGGTAGTTTTAGTATACAGCCAAGTGTTCTGTTATATAGCAGGTAGCTTTAGTATTCAGCCAGGTGTTGTGTTATACCACAGGTAGTTTTAGTATACAGCCAGGTGTTCTGTTATATAGCAGGTAGTTTTAGTATACAGCCAGGTGTTGTTATATAGCAGGTAGTTTTAGTATACAGCCAGGTGTTGTTATATAGCAGGTAGTTTTAGTATACAGCCAGGTGTTGTTATATAGCAGGTAGTTTTAGTATACAACCAGGTGTTGTTATATAGCAGGTAGTTTAGTATATAGCCAGGTGTGGTTATACAGCAGGTAATTTTACTGTATAGCTGGTGTTCTGTTACTTATCAGGTAGTTTATGTTATATACCTCCAACACATCACATATAAGTTAACCTCTATACCAGCACAAGTCATTTGAAAGCGGACAAAGCACTATCGGGATCTTGAAACAAGTTGATTGTACTTTAAACAAAGACATCTTCTCAGTTTGACACAAAAAAATGGCTGAGTAAAATATTTAATACCCCTTGAGAGATGATTTCAAGAATTTTTATGCCGTCCATTCCGACACAAAAACCCCATTTTGCGTCCATTACTGAAAAATATTCCACATTATTTTAATTTCCGTAGAAGAATCGAAAAGCCATTTTTATTAATTATCATCATTGTAACAATCTCATTCAATTTCTCATAATTACGATGGGAAAACACAAATTGTAATTATACCTCCGGGTTTCCAGACTGATATTTCAGAGCGGGAATATTCTCGACTCACCCCAGAGGTTTCCCCGTAAGCCCGGAGCTTGTTTCATTTAGTTGTGATGTTGTTTGCTTGTTTGCTTTGTTTTTTTCTGCGCAGTTTTCTACATCATATCAATGCGCAATGTTAAGCTTTATCATTCTTCATATAATGTTTTTCCCACTCGCCTTTTCTTTCGGTTATAGATGATGTTATTCTGTACATGAATGTACACCTTGTTAAAAGGAACATTCATTTGGTTTTAAAAATTTAAAAATAAAAATAATTCTTACTTTAAAAAGAGCAGCCGGGTTAAAAACTAGTCAGAAAGAAAGCCGGGAGTAAAAGAAATAACATTTAAATTTCTGGAAGCTTCCAGAATTAGATGCAAGTTATCGAGTGCTGTTCGGTCTGAGAGGACTTGCAGGAAGATGTTGAGAGAAATATTTGTGTAACAAGTTATCGATTAGTGTCGCCTCGTTGTTTTCTCCGAGACTGTCGGTTTTGTCGTTCCGGAAATCTTCCATCCAGGTCGGTTTTAGATCAGGGTGGGGCGGGGGGGGGGGGTGTATGATTTGTTTTACAAAAATAATTGCGATTTAATAACTGAAAGAAAAGCTTGCACAGGACATGATGTTTATTTGTGTATCATCTCATCTTTTTTTCGTTCGAGCCCAAAACACAAGGGGCAGATGAAGTAGAGTTTATCTATTTCAATGACCTGTTTGTTACAAGCTTTTTCCTACTTCTCTAAGTTCTCCCTTAATTGTGGATGACGGTAGAAGTTTGTGTTCGCCAATTTTTGTCATTTACTTACAACTCATGAATGGCGATGGCTTACATATTTTATATATATATATATATATATATATATATATATATATATATATATATATATATATATATATATATATATATATATATATATATATATATATATATATATATATATATATATATATATATATATATATATATATATATATATATATATATATATATATATATATATAAAGAGAGAGAGAGAGAGACTATATAAATATGTATATATAGGTACATCAAGATGTCCAGTCCCAACATGAACAATCTGATCATCATCGGCTGCATCTTGTGCTACATGTCAATCTTCCTGCTGGGGGCGGAGCCAGGTCACAATAACAGAACACTCTTCAGCTATTGGTGCATTGTAAGTAGGTCACAGTCTATTTTTAGAAAACTTCACTTTAAAGAGAGAAAAAGAAAACAATAAAATGCTCATGTTTTTTGTTAATTGGGCTGTAGGACACCACCCAACCGCCCAACCACCCAACCACCCAGCCACCCAACCACCCAACCACCCAGCCACTCAACCACCCAACCACTATATCCTAACCTACACGTAACCCATAAGCCAATCATAACCTGTTGACCGACTAAGCCATCAATCCTGGAACTGACCACTAACAAATTTCCCTCCTACAGGCGAGGTCTTGGACTCTGGCACTGGGCTTTACGCTGTCGTTTGGTGCCATGTTCGGCAAGACTTGGCGCGTCCACGCCATCTTCACCAACATCAAACTCAACAAGAAGGTGATGCTCTGGTTTTGTTTTGTGTAAATATAGATATGTCAATAGGTTGTGATTCTAGAAGGTGATGATCTTTACTGGTTTTTTTTTGTAAATATAGATGTGTCAATAGGTTGTAATTCTAGAAGGTGATGCTCTTTACTTTTTTTGTAAATGTTAATATGTCCATATGCTGTAATCATAGATAGTGATGCTCTTTACTTTTTGTGTTTAAATGTAAATATGTCAATAGGTTGTGATTCTAGAAGGTGATGCTCTTTACGGTTTTTCTATTTCTACCTACATCAGCATGACGTGATCGATGCCATTTGTTTGGTATCGATACCGTACATTAACCAATCCTCTAACCTTAATCCCAACCTGATTGTTAATCCTGACCATTATCCCAACCATATTCCCTGCCCTAACCCTATCAGCAAAACCTTGAAGTAAAAAACGCGATATTCTTCTGTCGTGTCCAACAATGTTTCTTTTCTCCGGGTGGGGGGAGGGGCACTTGTACCCCCGGGGTAGGGGCGGAAAATGGTTAGGTATATATTTTCCTTAAATATATTTTTTCTATATGTCCCATGGGATGGTACTGTATGCCAGAAAGTACCGTTGTTGTCTTGTACGTTTTTTTATTTGTGCTCTGTCCATTTTTTACTCCATCTAGAAGCATCCGTCTTAATTAATTCATTATTTAAATCAGTCTCTCCAAAAGTAATTTATCTTCTGAAACTAGCTGCTACTTTTTGTGCTGGATCAGACTTGAGTCACGTGACTCCCGAGATTCTTGTCACGTGATTTGTTTGAGACTTCTTTTTTTTTAATTATTTGATTTTTTTTTAAATTCTGAAGTCGCGTAATTTAGTGAGCTTGAAATCACGTGATGTCTTGAGTCTCAGGTCACGTGATTTAAGAAACTTCAGTCACGTGACCTAGTGAGCCTCGAGTCACGTGATATCTTGAGTCTCTATGGTCATGTGATCTAGTTTGTCACGTGACCTAGTGAGTCTCTTTGGTCATGTGATCAAGTGAGTCACGTGACCTCTGGTTTAGTGATCTACTGAACCTCCGGGTCTCGTGACCTAGTAAGCCTCGAGTCACGTGATTGAGTCTCCGGTGTGTGTGTCCTCCCCCAGGTGATCAAAGACTACAAGCTGATGCTGATTGTCCTGGTCCTGGTCCTGCTGGACGCCGTCATCCTGGTCACGTGGCAGGTCGTTGACCCCGTGGACAAGGCCGTAAAGAGATTGTCGCCAGAGGTGGGTCACTGGGTCAGTGGGTCACTGGGTCAGTGGTCAGTGGGTCAGTACTGAAGGTCAATTGGTTGACCCCTTGTGTTGTCTTAAGGTAGCATAATATGACCCCCTCCCCCCTTTCTCAAATAATGTGTAAATATATAAATAAATCCAATGAGCCCTTTACATTAAGTGGGTAGGCTCCAGAAAAAAAACTTCTTAATTAAAACGTATTACTGATTTATTTATGGATATGCAAGTTAAGGTACTTAAAGGAAAATATTTCCATGCATAAGGGACTCTTTTGAAAATTGGTTGCCATGGCGGCCATCTTGAAAAATAAACATTTTGTGGGGTTCTAAAATTTCATAAACTAACATATACATCGGCTATATAACTATTGATTCTACTTCTACTAACACTAATAGAGTCAGCTGGCTAGTTTTTGTAACAGAAAACACTTTAGAAATGATTTTTTTTTTGGAATTTTCGAAATTTGATATGACGAAATTCCATTGAAATTAATGCTAAATATAATGGTATTTCACCAACAAAAAAACTTTGAACATTTGAAATTTGAGGTAGGACAGAGTTAACCCTGTAACCGCCACTCCCCCCCCCCCCCAGGTAGGGCAGAGTTAACCCTGTAACCGCCACTCCCCCCCCCCCCAGGTAGGGCAGAGTTAACCCTGTAACCGCCACTCCCCCCCCCCCCCAGGTAGGGCAGAGTTAACCCTGTAACCGCCACTCCCCCCCCCCAGGTAGGGCAGAGTTAACCCTGTAACCGCCACTCCCCCCCCCCTCCCAGGTAGGGCAGAGTTAACCCTGTAACCGCCACCCCCCCCCCCCCCCCCCAGGTAGGACAGAGTTAACCCTATAACCGCCACTCTCCCCAGGCTCAAGCAGACTTTGAGATCATCCCAAAGATCGACTACTGCACCAGCAGCTTCATGGAGATCTGGCTCGGCGCCCTCTACGCCTACAAAGGTCTTTTACTGGTGAGCACTTCTTTACGCGTGCAGAATTCTTGGGGTCTGTTGATACTATCACACTTCTTTACTCTTGCAGAATACTCTGGGTCTGGATACCACATCACAATACTCACGATCGTGGGATACATTATTGATAGTTATAATTTTTTATTGAGTATCAGATTAATAATAATTTTTTTAAAGAATATTTATTAGTAATAGGCTACTAGTAGTTAAGCCTAACGTGAGTCAAGGTTGTCCTACGGACTCTGTCAGGGATTTGAACCCTTGGTTTCTCAGTTTAGCATTCATGCACTCTACGATCCGACCACGACGTTCCATTTTATTTTAATTAACATCATTAACATCTAAACTATAAATGTCATTAATGTTATTGCATTGTTGCCTTTAATATTAATATTATTGTTAATATTATTGATTACGATTACAATTACGACTATGATTATAATAATAATTATTATTATTGCTATTGTTGTTGTTGTTGTTGTTGTTGATGATGCTGCTGCTAAAATTATTTTCATTATCATCATAACTGAAGTCATTAATTATCTGACGAAATATCACCTTATCGTCCAATATTTTCACACAAATAGATTTTCGTTTGGGCACAGACGTAAATCAAGTTGGATTACTTTTTTCTTCACTGGTTGTGTTTTGGGATTGGGGGGGGGGGGGGGGGGTGCAGAAATGTGCACACCCCGACACCCCCGTCTCGTCTAGACTTAACCAACACGACAGAGCACTCCCCAGGGGTTGCAAGCCCGTCAATCCGTTAATCAGGGGATATAACTCAGGATTTTTCCAAGACAAGCTAATTCGCCTGAGATTTCAGATTAATTCCCCTTGTTTACCAGTATAAACAACGTCTATTTCACCCTCCAGTTTTTTTAACTTTGTTTTATTTATTTTACACGTTTTTGTGTGCGTATGTTCGCATATGTGCACGTTATTGTATTAGAATGTCGCCAAAAGAAGTTAGCATATTGTTAGTTATCATAACTACGCCACCCAAACAAACTGATTATTGTTTCGTTGTTATTAATTGTTGTTTTTATTTTTTTATTTTTATTTTTTCGATCGACGTGAAGGGAAAATTTATTTTTATTTAAGACGACTTGTGGGTACCACGTTAACACAATTGTGTTGCTGGGCTGCTTTCTGCTGGCGATGGCCTTGTTATTGAAACCTTACCAAACACATCCCCCCACCCCACCCCAACCCGTTTCACACGCATACATCTAAACACACAAAAAAAAAACCAAAGTAATCATAAGAACTGAGGTTTTAGGTGTTGTTTTAAGTTAGATAACCGCGGTACACAGAAAGATGAAACACGTTTATTAAATTAAGTCCGTTTTCTAAAATGTCTTTCTACTGACACCAATTTTTAGAGCCACGTGAAAATATCGTAGAATTAATCCGTATCACATCCCGAACCTAACCCTATACCTATGACTCGCAACTCTGACTATTGTCAACTCTGCAAATATAAACCATTGATCTGTTTACCTTTGTTTCATTGTATCATCTAATTCTAATTTTTACTTCACCAGGCGTTCGGGGTGTTCCTGGCCTGGGAGACGCGTCACGTGACAATCCCGGCCCTGAACGACTCCAAGTATATCGGGATGTCCGTGTACAACGTGGTCATCATGTGTGTGTGTGGGGCGGCCGTCTCCTTCATCATTGAGGACAAGCCGACCCAAAGCTTCATCATCATCGGCCTCTTCATCATCTTTTGTACCACCATCACACTGTGCCTTGTCTTCGTGCCTAAGGTCGGGACTCAATCACATAATATATGTCTGTCTATACATGCATGGATATATATATATATATATATATATATATATATATATATATATATATATATATATATATATATATATGTATACATATACAAATATATATATATGTATACATATACAAATATATATATATGTATACATATACAAATATATATATATATATATATATATATATATATATATATATATATATATATATATATATATATATATATATATATATATATATATATATATATATATATATATATATATATATATATATATATAAACACATATATGTGTGCGTATATACATATTGGTTAGTAGAGATTCCAATGGGGATAACAGCTACATTTTGCTTGAGAAAATATAGATAAAAGTATATCAAAAGTGAAATAACTGGGATAGTTATTTTTTTACTAGGTCTAGTATTAATTTAAGTAAGGAAACACATAATGGGGGATAAAAGTACAATAAATTAAACTACAATTCATTTTTAAAAAAGGAGATAACAGTGATACTTTATACCCCAGATAACTCATCTAAAAAGACACCGAAGCGGAGATAACAATATTTTTTTTTAACCCCAAACAATTCAGCTAAAAAATACACCAAAAGGGAGATAACAGTGATAATTTTTACCTAGACAATTCAAAAAAAAAATATATAAAAAAGGGAGATAACAATGATATTTTTCCCCCCAGATAATTCAGTTAAAAAGAAACCCAAAGGGAGACGAGCAGCGAGTGAGGGCGACACTGAACCGATCCAACAAGAAATCTAGCAAGTCAGAGTCGCTGCATAAGGAGAAGATACGGACAACAGTGGAAGAGAACAGGAGGTTGAGGGGCTTTCTCGAACAGGTGGGTGGGGAGAGGGGAGGAGGTTGAGGGGCTTTCTCGAACAGGTGGGTGTGGAGGTGGGGAGGGGGTAGGGGGGGGGGGACAGGGGGTGGGAGAGGACAGGAGGTTGAGGGGCTTTCTCGAACAGGTGGGTGTGGAGGTGGGGAGGGGGTAGGGGGGGGGGGACATGGGGTGGGAGAGGACAGGAGGTTGAGGGGCTTTCTCGAACAGGTGGGTGGGGAGGTGGGGAGGGGGTGGGGGGGGACAGGGGGTGGGAGAGGACAGGAGGTTGAGGGGCTTTCTCGAACAGGTGGGTGGGGAGGTGGGGAGGGGGTGGGGGGACAGGGGGTGGAAGAGAACAGGAGGTTGAGGGGCTTTCTCGAACAGGTGGGTGGGGAGGGGGTGGGGGGAACAGGGGGTGGGAGAGGACAGGAGGTTGAGGGGCTTTCTCGAACAGGTGGGTGGGGAGGTGGGGAGGGGGTGGGGGGACAGGGGTAGGGAGGACAGGAGGTTGAGGGGCTTTCTCGAACAGGTGGGTGGGGAGGTGGGGAGGGGGTGGGGGGGACAGGGGGTGGGAGAGGACAGGAGGTTGAGGGGCTTTCTCGAACAGGTGGGTGGGGAGGTGGGGAGGGGGTGGGGGGGGACAGGGGTGGGAGAGGACAGGAGGTTGAGGGGCTTTCTCGAACAGGTGGGTGGGGAGGTGGGGAGGGGGTGGGGGGGGACAGGGGTGGGAGAGGACAGGAGGTTGAGGGGCTTTCTCGAACAGGTGTGTGGGGAGGTGGGGAGGGGGTGGGGGGACAGGGAGTGGGAGAGGACAGGAGGTTGAGGGGCTTTCTCGAACAGGTGGGTGGGGAGGGAGTGGGGGGGGACAGGGGGTGGGAGAGGACAGGAGGTTGAGGGGCTTTCTCGAACAGGTGGGTGGGGAGGTGGGGAGGGGGTGGGGGGACAGGGGGTGGGAGAGGACAGGAGGTTGAGGGGCTTTCTCGAACAGGTGGGTGGGGAGGTGGGGAGGGGGGTGGGGGGACAGGGGGTGGAAGAGAACAGGAGGTTGAGGGGCTTTCTCGAACAGGTGGGTGGGGAGGGGGTGGGGGGAACAGGGGGTGGGAGAGGACAGGAGGTTGAGGGGCTTTCTCGAACAGGTGGGTGGGGAGGTGGGGAGGGGGGTGGGGGGACAGGGGGTGGAAGAGGACAGGGGTGGGGGAGGACAGGAGGTTGAGCGGCCTTCTGGAACAGGTGGGTGGGGAGGTGGGGAGGGGGTGGGGGGGGCAGGGGGTGGGAGAGGACAGGAGGTTGAGAACTTTCTCGAACAGGTGGGTGGGGAGGTGGGGAGGGGGTGGGGGGGACAGGGAGTGGGAGAGGACAGGAGGTTGAGGGGCTTTCTCGAACAGGTGGGTGGGGAGGTGGGGAGGGGGTGGGAGAGGACAGGAGGTTGAGGGGCTTTCTCGAACAGGTGGGTGGGGAGGTGGGGAGGGGGTGGGAGAGGACAGGAGGTTGAGGGGCTTTCTCGAACAGGTGGGTGGGGAGGTGGGGAGGGGGTGGGAGAGGACAGGAGGTTGAGGGGCTTTCTCGAACAGGTGGGTGGGGAGGTGGGGGAGGACAGGGGTGGGGGAGGACAGGAGGTTGAGCGGCCTTCTGGAACAGGTGGGTGGGGAGGGGGGGGAGGATGTGGGACACGGGGTGTGGAGTTGGTGCTCCTAACATATGGCTGAGTGGAGATGGGGTGTGTCAATGTGTGTTTTGTGGTCAGGACAGTGGTTGGACGTTGGAGGATTCTAGTGTAGGGGGTGGGTAGCTTTATTAAATGGGTGGGGGAGGGAGGCGTCTGTCATTGATTAATTAGGGGATATGACGTCAGTCACAAATTTTATACGAATGTTTGACAATGAGGTTGGACATTATATTTGGCCACTCATATTGGCCAGCAATGTTGGCCACTCATGTTGGCCAGCAATGTTGGCCACTGATGTTGGCCACTCATGTTGGCCACTTGTGTTGGCCACTCTGTTGGACATTAACGTTGGCCACTAGTGTTGGCCACTCTGTTGGACATTAACGTTTGCCACTTGTGTTGGCCACTCTGTTGGACATTAACGTTGGCCACTTGTGTTGGCCACTCTGTTGGACATTAACGTTGGCCATGTTTACCTCAGAAAGCCGTTGAGCTGGAACATCTGCTGGACCAGTTGGGTGATGACGTCATCAAAGACGACCTTGGCATTCACTCACTGTTACACAGGAAGGTCATGGAGCTCAGGGTCCTTGACGGCTCACCTGGCAAGTTGTCTGTCAAATGTAAGTGTCTGTCTGTCAAATGTAAGTGTCTGTCTGTCAAATGTAAGTGTCTGTCTGTCAAATGTAAGTTGCTGTCTGTCAAATGTAAGTGATGGTCTGTCAAATGTAAGTGGCCGTCTGTCAAATGTAAGTGGCTGTCTGTCAAATGTAAGTTGCTGTCTGTCAAATGTAAGTTGCTGTCTGTCAAATGTAAGTGATGGTCTGTCAAATGTAAGTGGCCGTCTGTCAAATGTAAGTGGCTGTCTGTCAAATGTAAGTTGCTGTCTGTCAAATGTAAGTGATGGTCTGTCAAATGTAAGTGGCTGTCTGTCAAATGTAAGTGGCTGTCTGTCAAATGTAAGTGATGGTCTGTCAAATGTAAGTGATGGTCTGTCAAATGTAAGTGGCTGTCTGTCAAATGTAAGTGGCTGTCTGTCAAATGTAAGTGGCCGTCTGTCAAATGTAAGTGATGGTCTGTCAAATGTAAGTGGCTGTCTGTCAAATGTAAGTTGCTGTCTGTCAAATGTAAGTGATGGTCTGTCAAATGTAAGTGGCCGTCTGTCAAATGTAAGTGGCTGTCTGTCAAATGTAAGTTGCTGTCTGTCAAATGTAAGTGATGGTCTGTCAAATGTAAGTGGCTGTCTGTCAAATGTAAGTGGCTGTCTGTCAAATGTAAGTGGCTGTCTGTCAAATGTAAGTGATGGTCTGTCAAATGTAAGTGATGGTCTGTCAAATGTAAGTGGCTGTCTGTCAAATGTAAGTGGCTGTCTGTCAAATGTAAGTGATGGTCTGTCAAATGTAAGTGATGGTCTGTCAAGTGTAAGTGATGGTCTGTCAAATGTAAGTGGCTGTCTGTCAAATGTAAGTGACTGTCTGTCAAATGTAAGTGGCTGTCTGTCAAATGTAAGTGGCTGTCTGTCAAATGTAAGTGGCTGTCTGTCAAATGTAAGTGGCTGTCTGTCAAATGTAAGTGGCTGTCTGTCAAATGTAAGTGGCTGTCTGTCAAATGTAAGTGGCTGTCTGTCAAATGTAAGTGGTTGTCTGTCAAATGTAAGTGGCTGTCTGTCAAATGTAAGTGATGGTCTGTCAAATGTAAGTGATGGTCTGTCAAGTGTAAGTGATGGTCTGTCAAATGTAAGTGATGGTCTGTCAAATGTAAGTGGCTGTCTGTCAAATGTTAGTGTCTGTCTGTCAAATGTAAGTGGTTGTCTGTCAAATGTAAGTGGCTGTCTGTCAAATGTAAGTGGCTGTCTGTCAAGTGTAAGTGTCTGTCTGTCAAATGTAAGTGGCTGTCTGTCAAATGTAAGTGGCTGTCTGTCAAGTGTAAGTGATGGTCTGTCAAATGTAAGTGGCTGTCTGTCAAATGTAAGTGATGGTCTGTCAAATGTAAGTGTCTGTCTGTCAAATGTAAGTTGTTGTCTGTCAAATGTAAGTGTCTGTCTGTCAATTGTAAGTGTCTGTCTGTCAAATGTAAGTGGTTGTCTGTCAAATGTAAGTGATGGTCTGTCAAATGTAAGTGGCTGTCTGTCTAATGTAAGTTACTGTCTGTCAAATGTAAGGGGCTGTCTGTCAAATGTAAGTTGCTGTCTGTCAAATGTAAGTTGCTGTCTGTCAAATGTAAGTTGCTTTCTGTCATATGTAATGATCTGTCTGTTAAATGTAAGTGACTGTCTTTCTAATGTAAGTGGCTGTCTGTCAAATGTAAGTTACTGTCTGTCAAATGTAAGTGATGGTCTGTCAAATGTAAGCGTCTGTCTGTCAAATGTAAGTGGCTGTCTGCCAAATGTTAGTTTCTGTCTGTCAAATGTAAGTTGCTGTCTGTCAAATGTAAGTGACTGTCAAATTAAAGTTATTTTACATTTTTTGCGTGCGTGTGTTCGAATATGTGCACGTTATTGTATTAGAATGTCGCCAAAAGAAGTTAGCATATTGTTAGTTATTATAACTACGCCACCCAAACAAACTGATTACCGTTTCGTTGTTATTAATTGTTGTTTTTGTGACTGTCTGTCAAATGTCTGTCAAAAATGCATGTTATCTGACAGAGGTAACTGACGTATGTAGAGGGAAAGGTTAGGAGGATAACTCCACACATTCGAGGTGAAATTAGCACAAGTAACACATGGAGCGTCATGTAGAGCTCAACTTGCAGACGGCAACACACGAAATACACAAATATGGCATACATCAGCCACACCCACACAAAAAACTACTAGACACATGCATATACACAAACACACACACAAAACAACACACACACACACACACACGCTAAAATACATAAACATCAACGCAGCTGTAAAGTATTCTTAAGAATATTCTTGTCTGAATACATTTTTTTAGAAAGTTGAACAGAAAAGGCAATACTTCTCCGTGGGGTAAACCGGTTTACGATTTATTTTAACAGGAATTTCAATTCTGTGTCTTTTGACCGTTTTTTTAAAGCCATTTAATACATTTGCTAACCAAGGAGAATAGAGGATTCAAGTTTCTGCGTTTGATTAAACTTAGGACTAGTTCTCATCTGTCGTAGCTTTGATACTTTTGAAAAGAAAATTGTCCGTAAAACTCATACGCCTTACGTCCGTGTTTTTATGCCAGTTTCTTCGAAATAGGCATAATGTGTCTATGTAAACATACTACATTTATGAAAAAATCTTTTTAAAAATATGGCAAGCGATAAAATTATAGTTACATTTGTAAAAATTAAAGACGTTTGGAAACTATCGATTACACTCATTTTTATATTTGTGTATGGAATACAAGCCGATGAAAAG